CCTTCTAAAGGAGGGCAGAGAGAACGGATAGAGATATTCAACCCCATTCTTATGAACACAAACAAATCATACATATTTTTAAAAGAAAACAGGTACCCATGCATAGTGGTCTGCGTCTATCACCCAGCTATCAGGGAGGCTAATGCAGAGGATCACAAGGTGAAACTTCCTACGGACCTTAGCAAGACCCTGTCTCAAAATGAAAAAGTACAAAGGTATGTAGCAAGTAGCCAAGTGCTTGCTTGGCATGCACAAAGCTCTGAGTTTGCTCTCAGTATGAAAAACAAAGAACCAGCCAAAAACAAGAGCTGCATTTTGAAATACAGTATCAAATTATACAATGCTTACAATTTCAATCAGATTCTTCTGGGGTCATTATCTGCCACCAACATTCGGCTGTAAGTGGGGTTACTAGGCAATCACTGTTGTGTTGTTTGTTTGACTGGTAAGGAGCCTTTAGTTTATGATGGCTTCTGGCTGGAAAAACTTTCTTCCCAGGAATGGAGGCTTATTTGTTTCGTCCTTTTCACAGAAGTCCCTTTGTGACTTTAGACACTTGTTTTTGGACTATTGGTTGGCCCCTGGCTCTGGACTTGGACTGGATGGCTCTGTTTCCTACCTGTTTGGCAACTCCTTATGGAACATACTGGAGTACAGTTGACTTCAAAGGCCTGGTCTGAGCCCTGCTGGACAGACTCAGCTCCCCCGGAGGAGGCCAGGAAGGTGTTATTATCCCACTCACTACCCCAGGGCAGGCCATGTGCACTTTAACTATTTTATTTTGAAATGTGAGAGGCATTACTGTAGCTCTTGCCCGAAGCATGGACATGCTGCCATTTTCCCAGGGGAGGTCGGGGTGAAAGGAAGCAGATCTGAGAAACAAATACAATGCAAATAGCCCACTGGAAAAACCAGAAAGTGGTGCAAAGGGGACTCGAAGAAACGACAGTGACCCTGAAGTGACAATATAAAGACCTTGTAGAGAAAGCCAGGAGGCACTTCCTGAGCAGCATCCTCTGCAGACACTGAGGGATCCACAGCACCTGATGGTGCAGCCTGAGAATCCAGAGGCGTGGCCTCTGCAGCCTGTTCCTGTGGGGTGTCACCAGCCTCGGTGGCCTCTCTCGTTTCGGCACCCACAGTGGTTTCATGGTGTTCTCCTTCCCCTTCATGGTTGGAGGCTGGCTCGATGACAACAGAAGGGATGACCTTCTCCTGGTGGAGAGAAGTGGATACTGTCATGGCCTGGAAAACAACAGGCACATTTGCTCGAAGACCAATGTCTTCTCCCAGCCACCCACACTTTCCCCATCCCACTAACCCGCAGTTCCAAGACCACTGAGTTCGCAGACTTTGGGCCCATGCCTTACATTTGTCCTGAGTTCCTCATTGTCTCTCCTGAGTACTAAAGCTTTCACGGGACGCCTATATAGACCCTTAAACAGCCACACTGCCTGGAAAATGGGGGACTTCTATGAGTAATCCAGAGTGGTAAGAGGCTGAAAGGGGAGAGGGTCTGTCCTGAGGGGGCAGGAACCTATCTCAAAAAGTAAATACAAGGGAAGACTCCATGCTACTCTCATACTTTGCAGTGGCTGTTCATAATTGCCCATGTCACGGGGCTTGGGATATGTTGTGGTTGATCACTGCAGTCGGGGGCAGGAAGAGCTAATGCCAGCTCTAACTCCTTGGGTGTGCTCATCTGACTCTTTCCTTAAAAAGTGGGGTTGGCTTTGGTGAAAGGAGCCTGGTGGGGAATCTGAGATACTCCGCTAATAGTAAACATGAAACACTGATAATTGTAACTCAACCTCCCTACTCATACTGAGTCCCTACCAAGGCTGGCACTGGGCTAAGCCTTTGGGGGGCATTTCTCACTCTAACAGCCTTGTCATTCATTTCCCCACCCTCTTCCTTCCTCTCTCCACTGAGTTTTCTCATCATCTGTGCTTCATTTCTTCTCTCTCTCATGATTGCAGCTTCCTTTCCCCTTTCTGTGCTGTATCCATCAAGCATAGGAAGTCCATCTACACAGAGAGAGCTACCACCCAGGCCAGCAGACAAGAGCCCACTAATCAGCCCTCTCCTCAGGAGTCCCTCAGGAAACCCTTACCTGAGGAGCAGCCCCTTCGGTCTCTGCTGGTGGAGGGCTCTCACTGCTTGCAACCTCAGTGCTTTCGGCATCAATTTTGGCTCCCTCGAGACTTTCTCCTTCAGCAGCAGGGAGGGCTGCCTTCTCTGCCTCTGCTTCTTCCACGGGGACCCCTTCGGTTGGCACTGTAGTTCCCACAGTCTCGTCGGCATCAGCTCCAGGAGGGATCTATAAGGTAGAGAGCAGTTACTATTCCTGTGTCTCCAGAGCCTCCACAAGGTCTCAGCACCGCGCTATCGTTCTTCCCCAACTGCCAAGGCCATCCACACTGAGTTGCTTTGCCATGGACAGAATCCCAGGAGTCAGGAGCAACAGAAGCTTTTGCTGTGATCAGAGCTCACTCTTCCCAGAGCATCCAATGATATGGATTCTGCATCCCTTGGATTCCCCTTCAGTCAAGTATGGTGGGTAGCACTAGAAGAGGTGACCTATGCCATTCTTTAGAGGCTGTTGGTAGAGAGTGGGTGTATCTCTGTCCACAGGCTATTCTTTTTTGTTTGATGTAAGCAGACATCAACGAATGAAGTTTTAGGGGACACATAAGTTGTAACGCTGAAGGGACCTGGGTTCCTGTGAGACCTGGCTCATGGAGGAGGACCACAGGAGGAAAGCATCCCATCTCACAGTGAGAATCAGAACTGCTGCTCTCCACATCTGTATGAAGAAGGCTTCATGGCTGAGTCACATTCAGGGAAAAGGAGCGATGGTTGGGGTTTCCTCCAAAAGAATGTTAAGAGGATGAGGGAAAATAGCTTTGAAATCCAATATGAATCAGCAATATGCAAATATCCAGGGAGCCATCTGCTGGCTAAAAAATCGTCACAATCAGACTTGGAGTCTTTACTAAGGGAAGCAAAATCTAAAGAAGTTTTCAGTAGTACCTAAACATGAGATGATAAAATAAAGGAAGTAGCATCATAGGTTCTAAATTGGTTTAGAGTCTAACCTTTTAATAGAATTCTAATAATCAGCATGGTAGACCCCATTTGACAAAGTGGAATAAAGAAGACTATTGAGAAACAGTGTTGAGATTGATGATATGTAGTATACCCAGGACACATTCCAAACACCAATGTTGCTTTCTGATGGGTTAGCATCAGCTGGTGCTCTCAATTACTGGATTAGTTCTGTTCTGTTCTCTGGATTGTTAGGGAAGCCATACTCTGGCAAGCATTAGCTCTCCAACCCTGACTTCTGAAGTGGGTGATGGAGAGCAGCTCTCTGTGGGCATCATAAATGGCATATGGGAATGTGGCCTCATATAGGCACTCAAGATGGCATTCTCCAAGAACTCTCCTCTGCCTCAAAGTCACACCTACTGTATTACTTAAAATAACCTCCTATGAAGAACATTTTCTAAATATCATAATTTTACTTTGGGGATAAAAGACAGCTGCATCATTTGACACGTGATCAAATGTTACTCATATTCATAGAAATTTCTAGGTCTGTGGTGATATATTTTATACCCTAATAAACTTTGCCTGAAGATCAAAGAACAGAACAAGCCACTAGATTAAACATACAGGCCAGGCAGTGGTGGCACACACCTTTAATCTTAGCACTTGGGAGGCAGAGATCTGTCTGGATCTCTGTGAGTTCAAAGCCACCCTGGACTACATGAGATTGACTCAGTCTAAGAAAGAAACAGAGCCAGGCACTGGTGGCACACACCTTTAATACCAGTACTTGGAAGTCATAGGCCTTTAATTCCAGCACTTAAGATCTCATGCCTTTGCTTGGGAAGCACACATGCCTTTAATTCCAGGAAGTGATGGCTGGGCAGAGAAAGGTGTGAGAAGACAGATACTAGAGGGTTTTTCAGGCCGAGGAATTGGTGAGGTAAGAGGTGGTGGCTGGAGGAATTGGTGAGGTAAGAGGTGGTGGCTGTGGCTTATTGCTTTGTCTCTCTGATCTTTAGGCAAAGTTTATTAGGGTACATAATATATCACCACATAGGTCTCATATGAGAATCTCCTATTATGAGAATTTGATTCTTTACAGAAAATGGACAATCGTGCAAATGCAGTTGCTTGTCTTTATTTCTTTAATTTTTACTCTGTCATTAAAGTACGTGGATTCAGAAAAGTGATTCTCTTGTGTGAATTGTAGCCAATACTTAATTTGAAATGAATTTTAAATGTTGGTAAATATTGAAATGAGTTAAAAGTTATATGAAGATTTGTGTTTTGGTGAATGACTGAAAATTCCAACAAAAAATAACTTTTAAAAATTTAAGAGAATTGCATCTCTTGCTTTAAGTAAACCATGATCTTTTTGTAAATGTTATTGTCACTGTTTTCGAAAGAAGTGTAATTAGCAATAACTTAGAAAAGCATCTTAATCCCCAGAACAATAACAAACAATTGCTCATTAATTTGTTGTTGGTAAAATCATCAATTTTGGCTGGGATAGAGCTCAGGGGTATAATGCTTCCAGCTGAGGCTCTAGTTTCAATGCCAGGTATTGTAATAAAAAGAAAAGAGGGGAGAGAGGGAATAGGCTTTCACTAGGGTACTAAAGTTCCATATTGGGAACTATTGATAAAAACAATATGAATATAGTGACTCACAGGCTCAAATGCAGAAGGCAAACTGCTTAGTTATAATTCCACTATTTTTGCTTTCCATATATCTGGACAAAAGTCACACCTTGAACAACACAATGATTTCAATAGCTTTGAACAAGATGGATTCTATATACATGCAGAGAGAAGGCAAATCAGCCTGCACACACACACACACACACACACACACACACACACACACACACACACACACCAGATGAAAAAGCATACCTTGGTAGTTCTTTTTTTTTTTTTTTTTTTTTTTTTTTTTTTTTTTTTTTTTTGGTTTTTCGAGACAGGGTTTCTCATGTAGCTTTGGAGCCTGTCCTGAAACTCACTCTGTAGCGCCCAGGCTGGCCTCAGATTCACAGAGATCTGCCTGGCTCTGCCTCCCGAGTGCTGAGATTAAAGGCATGCGCCACCACCACCCGGCAATAATATGTACCTCCTCTTCCATAAATTGTTCCATGCACATATGTTCTGAGCAGCGCATATCATTAGGAATTGGTACTGTCTTAAGTGAATTAATGTTACTTCCTTAGAAGAAAATACACTAATTTTCTATGGCATATTGATGATATTACCAAGAGTAAATTTGTGTTGTTTTTTAAGCATTATTGTATTTTGTTTTACTTATGTGCATGTGTGATTGTGTCTTCATGTGCAGAAACATGCAGGTTTCTGTGGAGCTCAGAAAATGGCATCAGGTATCCTGGAGCTGGAATTACAGGTGGTTAGAGGTACCCAAGCGGATGCTGGAAATGAAACTGGGGTCTTGTGGATAAACAGCAAGCACTCTTAACCACTTAGCCATCTCTCCAGCAACACCAAAGGTAATCTTAAAACTCAGTTAATGCAAACAGAATCATTAGCTTATAAACGATTGTTTTCTGTATGACTGTCTGTGGGATCTATCATATTTTACTATCACAAGGTAGACATGTCATGGTTTTTCTTTGGCTAAGTAATTTGAACAGTCATTGTTGACTGAATCTGCTTGTTCAAACACTGCTGTGACAACAGCCGCCAGCAGGTGGAGACCAGGGACTTGGTTTAACTGTTGTGTATTGCCTGATCTTCAGAGGCAAGCACCCAGCTTCAGGGCCTCAGCAATTCACATCATCTCTGCCACATGAAAGGAAACCTAACAAGTAGGAAAGGGCCAATAAGAATGGTGGCAAAGAAACTGTCATTGGAATGAACAATGCTGGGAAAGGATGCTAAGGAAACTAGCATTTTGATTCCCAAGGATAAAGACATTCGGAATGACCTACTTATTCATGTTTATATGATGCATGTAAGAGTCAGTTGCAACATATTTTCATACAGTTTTTTCAGACTTCTTGTGGAGATGTCATATTGCTGTTTTTGATAATGTCTTTTGCCCTCTTCATAATGGTCAGTTACTGGCTGGGAGTACATGCTACAATGTGTGTGGATGCTCTGTGCTGTTCTAGTGACTTCTGACCTTGTTTTGAGAAGAGTAAGTCTAAAGAAGGACTTGCTGGCATTTACTTGCAGAACTCTTAAAGCTTTGAATTAAAAATTTAACAATATATTTAGATGTTCTGGTCATTAGTTTTGCTCTTGTGTGATGTTTTATTAATATAAAGTCACTGTTCATAGTGATGGGTTTCATAGACATTTCCATTCAGGTATATCATTGCTTGGACCATATTTGCATATTTGCCTTCCTAGTCTCCCCCCCATATCCTTTATTCCTCTTTCTTTTTCCAAATAGTCGTACTTCTTTATTGTGTATCTACAAATGACTATATATATTGCACAAACGAACACACACACACACACACACACACACACACACACACACACACACACACACACACACATACACACAGACACACCCCTTGAGAAAAAAATGTAGTCTATCTTCCTGATTGTGATTTCTTGTGATCTACCCCCGGAGATTATTTCAGTTATAAAACTTCAATCCAACATGCTATGCCTCCCACTGAGTCTGTAAATCTCTGTCCAGCCCCTTCTTGAGGATCGGCATTGGTCTAGGAGTTGGATTATTCCTTTTGGCCTTCCAATCTGTTACCTTTGCTATGCTTTTCCTCTGTGCTGGGAGGTCCTGCGTACCTGCTTATCATTAACCACTTCTCTACACAGTTGTGCTTGGTCTTTCCTACTTGGTACTCAAATCTTGATTCTAGTATGGCATTTTCTTTACATTCTTACTCACTTTTCATCTGACTTACATTGACTCCTTTCCTCTCATCAATGTCATCTTGGAATTCACTCTGAGAAGACAGTTTAAAATTTTTCTCCCCATATTTTGAAGAATATTTTTGCAATCTGTTCTCTAAAATGAAACTTTATCTAATAAGCAATCTTTTCCTTCCTCTGCACTGCTTTACGTGCCCTATGCTGCTTTCAAACTATTTCTGTCGTGTTTAGTTACTTCAAATTAGGGGATGGCTCAGCGGTTCCAGTATGTTAGAAACATTTTCTTTGTTCCATTTTGCATGCCATCTGGGGACATTCAGATGCTGCTTTCAGGTCAACAGCTGGGAGAGATTGTCTCAGATTTCTTTGTTTTTACATAATCTAGGCTTATCTGGAAAGAAGAAACTGCAATTGTGAAAATGTCTCCATCAGACTGGTTCATAGGCAAGCCTGTGAAGCAGGTTCTTGATTAATGATAGATTTAAGAGTGCCCAGCCCACTCTATGTTGTGGTTCTAGGTTATATAAGAAATCAGGCTGAGCAAGTCATAGGAAGCAAGCCAGTAAACAGCACTCCTCTGTGGTCTCTATTTTAGTTCCTGCCTCCAGGTTCCTGTCCTCATTGAGTTCCTGCCTTGGCTTTCCTCAATGATGGACTGTGATTGGGATGTATAAGCCAAATGAACCCTTTCTTCCCCAGGTTGCTTTTTGCCATGGTGTTTATCACAGCAGCAGTGATTTATCAAAGTAGTGGTTTATCAAGCTGTTACACACGGTCACCTACTTTGAATCTCCCAAATGTGTGTCAGAGGTATGCAAGCATGACCCCACAGCACGTTGCCAAGGCGTGGATACTGTGGAAAGGCACTGCCACACACAGTCATCAACTGCCTTGTAGGCTTGGCTATGACTTCTATTCCCTCTATGCTTTCCCTTATAGAACAGCTTCGTAGTCGTAGCTGAAATTTCTAGAATGTAGCACTATAGGAACTTTGATACTTTTTGTCAAAATTCTCTTTTATCTTTAATTGGGAGGATTACAATAAAGGAACTGATAAAAAGCTAATTTTAATGTTTTGTAACTTTTTAGTGTTTTCAGTTTTCTCATTCCATCCTCATTTATGCTGTTATTTTTATTTACTTTATTTCTGGCATAAATGACATAAACGATAAGTGAAGACTATAAGAAGAATATATTAGATTTTAGATAAATGACACATTTTGATAACTGCAGGACAGTTTATACTGGAGTCAGAATATGGTAATAAGATTCTTGAAGTTTGCTTTGTAAAGACAATTGACTGAAAGATCACTGTGCTCTATCTAGGCTTTCCAGTTGCTCCTGATTCTAAAGAATAATAATTCTGATGCACAGATGGGCTGCTCCTGTCAATTTATTTTTATATGTCCATCCTGGGTAAGAAACTTGTGTTTACTGTGAATCCATCAGTATCCAGGTGCCATCATAGAAGTTTTATGTTTATTGCATATTATTCTCTTTACATCTCTATTATAGCTTATTTCCATTTCCTAGAAGTTAACTAAGATATAAAGAGTGAAAGTAACCTGCTCAACCAGTAAACAAGATTTGGAATGGTCTGTCCAAATTCTGTGTTTTTTTCATACCAATCTATACCCAAGAAGGTAAACATCTAAATTAGGGAGTTTCATAGCAATCCTGAGAACCTGAGCACCAACTACAGACACTGTGGTGCTAGCTCTCAAACCAGCCATATTTGAAGAGGATTCTAAGCATGCTTTCAAGCAGCTGATATGTGTCCTTATGCTCTTGGAATTCTACTCTTTAAGTAATTTTTTCCTGCTTCCTCTGCTATTTGGGAACAAGCAAAGACATAGCACAGTGTCTCCTAATCAATAGCCAATTTTGTAACAAACAGAAATCAAGAAGAGGTTAGTTGATGTCCTAGTTAGTTTTAATTTGTCAACTTGACACAACTTAGAGGAAAACCAAACTTGAGGAATTGCCTAGATCAGGCTGGCCTGTTGACATGTCTGTGGAGGCACTGTCTTGACTGTAGGAGGGATGAGTCTACTGTGGGCAGCCCCTAAACAGGTGTCCTAGACTGCAAAACAAAGGTAGCTAAGCATAAGGTTGAACAAGCAAGCCAGCATGCAATGTTCCTCCATGTTTTCTGCCTCAGGTCTCTGCCTTTAATTCCTATTCTGACTTCCCTCAATGAGAAACTGTGATATGGAAATACGAGTCGAATAAATCCTTTTCTTCCCTAGGTTGCTCTTTAGTTATGGTATTTATCATAGCAGTAGAACGAAACTAGAACAGTTAGGTAGAACTTTTCTACATTGTTTTTGACAATTATCTTCTAGATTTCAGTGTTTGGAAAATTATGTACAGAATGGGAAAGTACAAAAGGCCTATTGCTCTTTGCCTGGATTTCTGCATTGCAATAAAAACGGGAACATTTAGGACTAGGGCACTAGTCACAGTTCCGTTCACCAGCCAAGGACTAGTGTCATTCAAAAGGTGAGAGGTCCCTGAAGCTCTGTCTTCTCACTGTCCAAATGAAGAAAGGAGATGGAGTGAAAGGAGTGCTGGAGACAGGGCTGGAGGTGGACCATTCATTCATTCCCGCTGGGAGCTGGCTGTGTAATATCACTGAGGAAAGTGGTAAAGGGACAGAAGTAGCAGAAGCCCCAACCACAGACCATCACTGCCTTCTCTTGACTGTCCCTAAATGAGGCTCTAATCAGAGTTCTTGATGTGCTGAAAATCCTGGCATTTTTATGAATTTTTAAATTCATTTAAATTTAAAAGGATTAAAATTAAGAACTAAATATTTTCTTCAGGGTCTATTTTAAAGAGAAAGTCAAGAGTCAGGTCTACAAGAGACCATGATAGCCCCATAGAGAAGATTCTGGTACTTTGACATAGGATGGCAGTTGGTACTCCTCTTCACACAAATGATGTTTAAAACACTGCCCACTACAGTGTCCCTCTAGCTAGACCACAGGAGAGTGCTGTCCTTGGAAGCCCACATCCTATGGGCATTTCTTTTGAAGTGGTACCTAGCACTGCAAATTTGACTCACACATTCATGCGTTTCCTTCCAAAGAGAGTTACAGGAATCCATCCCCCACCCCCAACCCCCCTCGGCTGCCCCATCTCTGTCTCAGCTTTCAGGCTGCTACCCTAATCTTTCTTGCAGCCCCATCAGAAGCCCTAAGCAGCTAGGTTTTAGTTCAACTCAGCCAACTGCAGCACTGTTGCCATGGCAAACAACTGTTAAAATTAGCTCCATATCTTTGAAAATCATCTTCTGCAGAGACGCCAAAATTATTGAATTTTTGTTGTTGTTGATTTGGCTCTAAGCACAGGGCACAGTATCTTGTAAGGATACAGTTTGGCATTAAAAGTTTCAATTAGTGATTTGTTTGCAAAATTACTAGAAAAAGGCATAGCTTTTGAAGCAACATAAATATTGTATACTGTGCTTGCTCAGAAATTCGGACATGAGCAAGCAGGTGGAAAGCAATTGTAACAGGTGCCTTCAATGGGACTTGCCAAATTTGTAAGAGAGTTTTACTTAATTTTATTTAACAGTGTTTGGTATTGAATCCTAAGCTTCCGCCATGAAAAGTAAAAGCTCCATAATACTCAATCATAACTCCAGCCCTGAGATTGTTTTAAAAAGATATCTTTGCAAATCAGGCATTGTGGCATGCGCCTGCAATCCCAGCATTTAGGGGGTTGAGGCAGGAGGACAGCTTGGGCTACATAAGTAAATGACAAGTCAACCTACACACCGAGACTCTTACTCTAAATATTGACAACCAAACAAGAGCTGCAGAATGCCTCCTGTGTGGGCCTTGGATCAGGGTGACAGAATTGGAGGAAAGGTGCCAGGCACAGCCGGAGACCAGATAAAGACTGGGCTGAAAATCACTTGAATAGTCTCATGGTCTACGGGCAAATATCCCAGCCCTGACCATGTACATGTCTCAGAGTAGCCTGAGGCTTGACAGATGGCAGTGTGTGTGGCCTGAAACTGGAGGAGAAGGCAGCTGAGCATCACACTGGGAAGACGTGCTGGCAGTCCTCTAACCTCATGGCTTTGGAACAGTGGTAGCACCACTGAGTGAACTACTCCTTGTCGATCTGTCACCCCAACTGCCTAGTAAACACAGGCTGGAAACAGCCATAAACAAGACTGCTTCACCACACTGCGGGGATTCGGTAGTCCTTACATTTTAAAGCATTCAGCTGTAGATTTTTAAGTGCAGAAGAACTTTTAAATTTATCAGGAGCAACTCCTTGAGATGAGAAACAGGCACAGGGAGTAGATTCACTTCCAACACCGACTTCCTTTAGCAGAGGAGCTCATTCTGTGCATTCCCATTTTAGGGTATTGCTGCCACATCCCCTTTGACGACAACTGCTTTACAGCCAAAGCAGTGGAAAAGGACACACATGGCCTTTGGGAAGCTCAAGACTGAGGCTGAACAAGAGCTGCTGTTTCATTTGATTTTTCAGCTATAACCCAGGGACATCTCTCAAGTCTAAGAACTAATTGTGGCAAGTCCTGATATTAGCAGAGATTTCAGCCTACCTGGATCCTAATGTCCTTCCCTGAAGCTTTTCTTCACTAAAAAGAAACAAAAAAAAAAAAGAAAGAAAAAAAAGGAGGCTATCACAGAAAGACACAAGGTGGAAGGAAGACAATGCCAAAGCAGCCTCCTTCATAGACCAAGAACTACAGGTAATTAGTGACAGCAGAGAGAGAGAGAAAGCCTCTCCCCAAGATGAGTCCTTTTCGTTACCCGATATAAAGTGGTCAGTTCATCAATAAATTTGGGGGTGACAGGAAGTTCACACAAGCAACAGACACTTATAGAAGGGGTTCAGTTAGCTAAACACATTTCCTTTTTTTCTATAGGACATAGTCCCAACTCCAAATCTTCAAATGGGCAATATGAAAGTTTTCCTAAATTGTTTTTAAATTTTTGTTTAAATATTTATTTAGTCTTAATTTATGTATACGAGTATTTTGCCTGCATGCATGTATGGACACTGCCTGTGTGCCTGGTGCCTGTGGAAGCCAGAAAAGGGTGATAGAGTCCCTGGAACTAGCCACTGTGTGTGTACCATGAACTGCACCCAAGTCCTCTGCAAGAATAGCAAATGCTGTTGACCACTGAGCCTCCTCAGTCCCAGTTTTCTTAATTTAGGCTTAATTGGTATTATCTATTACTATCATACCCTACATTTGGTTTTTCGCTTTATTAATAAATTACTGAGTTGACAGGTAACCTATGCTTTTTTCTCAGTAAAGTAACCATAGGAACTAATAGCATTTACTATAACCTTCATTTATATAGTATGCAGTTCAAAAATAGCATTTGGCAAGGAGGAAATTGATTTTCTATTTGTGTATGTTCTGTGAAGGCCATAGTAAACAATAAAATTCTTGCAAGACATTTTTCCAACCCTCTATACATTCATGGACATTTTGCTGTCTATGAACTTGCTGAATATTGGCATTTATCCCTGTTTGCAATGTGGGTCTTCCTCATGGCTGTGTGCATCAGGGTGAGAACATGTATCTAAGCAGTCAGGTGGATCTCCAACCCAGGACAAAGTGTATCCTTAAGGTCCCCCATAGAATCAAGACCTACACAGACTGGATTTTAAAAAAGTATTTGTAAGAAGCAATCTTTATAGTCTAAAGCAATCTTTATAGTCTAAACCCAAACCATAGATAATCAATACACATATGGCAGACAAGCATAGAAGATAGGTTGGGGACCATGGGCACCCAATTGGTTTTGAGTTATGCAACCCCTCCCCCATCTGTAATAATGCACTTGACAGCCTAGTTCCCTCACCTGCATATACTCTGTATAATCACTTTTCTCCAAACAACGCACCAAAACTTCAGAAACTTCCTAACCTCCCAGATGCATCAGACAACAGGTGTTTCCATTTCTGAACAATGATCTAAGTTTCCTCACCCCCAGGAACAATCATATCATACAGTTACTATTCAAGTAAATTCCAAATATATCTGCGTATGAAGAGTAGAAGGGCCAATCCAGCTGGAACTAGTTTTGCTATATATGTAGTAAGGCAACACTGTGTCCTCCTTTAGGGACCATCTTATGCCTATGCATACTTGGCCATGCATATGATTAAAATCAGATATACTGTGGGAAAGGACATGCACAGCAGAGAAATTATGACATAACCTAATTTATCAATCAGATTGAGAACCACTCAAACTATGCCCCTTAGTAGCCAGCCCCTCCTTCTCTTGAACTCTATAAGAGGAAGCATAGTCGGGACCCTTGAGTATATTCCCTCATGTGGCCCACTGTCAATCTAGTCAGTGTATCTTTCTTTAATCTGCTTTATCACTTTGCTCCCAATAAATTTATCTTGTTTCTTTTGCAGGTCTGCATGAGTCCCCATTTTCTACTGTTTTAGGTAAGAGGCCAAGAACTTGGAAACGCTGTCTATACTCAACTTCTAGTAACATGCAGACATGACCAACAAAGTTATCCTTACATTTATCTTGGGCAATTTTGATCCCCAATTACAGCACATTTACAGCTGTCTTGGATAGAACATAGAAATAGGTCTGACTGTCTTCACATTCTGCATTCCATTGACAGAAGGAGTGCATCAGAAAGAATTGAGGCACAGGGTTTTGGAGAGTCATGCCTATGGCTACATGGCAGTTTCCCTCATCTGTAAGTTCAGTTCTTTGTTATAATCTCAATAATAATAATAATAATAATAATAATAAAATAATAATATAATAGTAATAATAATAATGATGTCAGGGAACTGAGTTTTTACTATGAAAGTAGAGAAGCATCTTTGATCCTGGGAACCATGGCAGACAAGGGGATCTTTTAGCCCAGCTGAAGCCTGGACAGGAAGTGGTACAGAGGATCATGGGAGAAGCTGGAAGGAAGCAGCAGAGGGATGGAGGGGACAGGGCATGGGCTCACCACTGCTTCCTCCTTTGACTCCTCCATCTCCAGTCCAAGGTCCAGCCCGGCAGCAGGTGCAGCAGTGGTGGCAGGAGGCTCCTCTGCTTGGGGCTCCATGGATAGAGCCTGTTCAGTTTCAGCCTTAAGTTATTTGTGGGTAAGAAGGAAACAGAAAGTTTCAACATGTGAATAGGCAACACTGCAGAATACTGGAGAATCCAGAGTCTCATCATCATTCAAAGCAGGCAGCCAGTTTTATTATCATTCTAGAAAAATAAATTCTCTCATTTGGTGTTATAGGTCTTGCAGAACTGAAGAGTGGAAGAGTGGAATTGTGTTAAGCTTCATTTGAACTGTTTCCTTTAAAGTCAGGCAAAGACCTACCACTGTTCACCTGTCACAGTTTCTTCATGTCTCTATGGCCTGGGTAAGAGAGCCTGAAATGATTCTTCTGTTGTGTGGAGAAGGAGAGACAGAGACAGAGACAGAGAGAATATCTCTAGAAGGTCCACCATTTGCTAGGTAAAAGGAGTCAAGAAGAGCCTGTAGGGTACATCGTTCTGTGATCTTTCAGTGTATGGGTATATATTACACTAAAAATGGAGGAATCATTCCAGTATGCAAATGAAAAGGCATTTCTTTAACTTAGTGGATCACTTCCAAAGATGGGAGAGCAGGCTCAGCCACCTGGCTGTGCCGTAAACTACAGAACCTTTATTGTTTTGTCTGAGGCTCTGATTCAGTCCCTTCTTCTTCTTCTCTACCTCCAAAAAAATCTGTAGAAATCAATTTATTTCATATAACAAACTAATTCCTTAAAGAATAATAGGACAGCCTTCTCCATGGTCTCAATTAGACCCTTTAACCCAGTGGTTCCCAACCTTCCTAATGCTGCAACCCTTTCATACAGTTAATTCCTCATACTGTGGTGACATCCATAACTGTAATTTTGCTACTGTTAAGAATCGTCATGTAAATATCTGATATGCAGGATAGCTGATACGTGACCTGCAAAGGGGGTGATCCACAGGTTGAGAAACCTTTAAGTTGTGGGAGCAAAGTGAGATGCTGTTTTCTTCATGAGACTGCTACATGTTGTCATCCTCCAACACCTGTTACATGCCAAATCAGGTTTCTGGCATTTCTTAACTCAAAACATGCTTTTCCTGTATACTTAATTAATTTAGCACACACAATGAATTTCACAGAAAAATACTGGAGAAACTGTTCTAAAACAATGATTCAGTGGTGGAGAAACAGAAAAATTGATTTTCTTTTTTTAATTTTAAAGTTCCTAAATCTTTTTTAAAGATGTATTTATTTTTATTATATGTGCATTGGTGTTTTGTATGCATGTATGTCTGTGTGAGGGAGTTGGATCCCCTGGAACTGGAGTTTAAGACAGTTCCTGAGCTGCCATGTGGGTGCTGGGAATTGAACCTGGGTCCTCTGGAAGAGCAGCTAGTGCTCTTAACCACTGAGCCATCTCTCCAGCCTCTTAGAAAAATTAATTTTCTTATGGCCTCCACCAAGTCACTCACTGTGACCACAACCTAGTATTTTTAAAAGGTATAATAAAGTTAAAAGACACTTTTGTAGACAAGTGTGCAAAGATTTAAAATTTTATAGGGTTTTACAACCTTTATGATGCTCTTCCCTGGCCAGCTGAGTCTGCTTTGGAGGAAGTCTGAAGCTGAAGAGGAGCCAAGAGAAGGTTTGATACACAACTCATGTAAAAATACCAAAGATACTGTGCATTTAAAAAATACAAAGATAACTGAAAATACACAACAATGTTTGGATCATTGGCTTGGATTTCTAGATGTCTGAAGAAATTCTGAAGCATTATTTAAATAACAACGATGAGAATAGCTTTATACATGAATCTAACTGTATATCCATATTAAAATAAAAAAGTACAACTATTGTATGGAATGAAACAGACATTAGATTAGCATTTTCTCACAAGCTACACATGTTCAAGCTACTGAGTTCTAATAACTGTGGCTATGACCTAAGTTCTAGGGGCCAAATTCAGCTCACTGGCAATGAGCAAGTATGAAACACACTCTGCATAAACTCCACTATTCAAATTAGACTTATAGGTAGGTCACTCTTCTATTCCTCTGAGATATGAAATTATAAATATTTTCTTATAATATACCAAAGAAGCTCATTTGTGAACAAAATCATGTGAAAAAATCTGAAGCCCTATTATGTGAACTGGGCTCTATTTCAACTGTTTTTATTGTTGTTCCTACGAGGTAGCTGCCTTGACAGATGTTGTTAATGGACTGTGAACATGCTGTACCTAATTTTTGAGCACTAGAAAGGATTCTTTCTTCAGAATGAAAATTCTTCAGAATGAAGCTGGCTGTGTAGTCTTGGAACACATATTCTTAAACCCTTCTCTGATGAGATTAACCCAGGTCATTACAGAGACAGAAATGGGGTGGGAGAGCCAAGAGTCTATTTATAAGCCAATATGATATTTGCCTTCTAGTAGTGTTCTTTTCAGGCTTAGAAGAGCTATTTAATATGGACTGAAGAGGACTTGAGAGCAACTAAGAACAAGGTCTGAAGACTCAAAATGGTTTTCAACTGGTACATAGTGGTGTTCTGTGGGCCATGAGACATGAACCAGGAGATAAACAGCTGAATGCCAGCTTCAATCCCTTTGCTCAGCACAGTCAAAGAATTCAATGTTAAGGCTTCTGCAGCTCCTGAGATGCCTCATAGTAACAACTTACTGATAGTTACAGATTACGGTTACTGTACATGGTGATTGTCTACTGCCTCATCGCAAGAATTTCAGTAGCATTTGCAATTCTGGGCGTGCCAAGTTGCATTCCTCAGCAGAGAAGAAGTGTGATGTCTGCTCACAAGAACGTATGTGGAGAGAATTGGAGGGAAATCCCAGAAGTCTTAGCACAACTAACAATGGAGTGTGTGGAGATAGTCAGGGTACTGAAAGGTCATTGTTCTGAGCTTGGACTTTGTGTATTGACATAGTGGCTATGAATTTAATCATGACCCAATAGTCTCTCTTTTATTTCTGCATTTCTGAGTTTTCCTAACTGTTCACAACTGATAATTTAAAACCTCACCATCCAAGTTCTATCATCAAGGTTGAGAATGACCAATAAACATAAAGATTGAATTTCTCTGGTTTTGTTATTAATACCACAAACTTGAAGAAAACAAAACAAAACAAACCCCAAGACTTTGTATTCTACTTGGTTGTGCAAAAAGCACCAAGTTATGATAGTCCATTGATAAGATAGCAGAATATTACCAAAATTAACTTTTAGACAAGTTTCTAAGAATTCCTTACTTAAAAGCAAAAATATTATACAAAGAAAAATTTATTCTATGTGAATTCAATTCTAAACTTCCTATGTGAAAGCTGGTAGCTAAGACAATTACAGAGTATTCCTATAGAAAAACCATAGCAATGTTAATAGCCTCTTCAGTCCTCAGCAGGGTAAATGCACAGTGACATCTCTCAAGGTCATTTCAATCAGCTTGATTAGGAAGCTGCTGAATGGCTTCCCATGATAACTGCAACTTCCATCTTCTAAAAACCTCCTCTATTCCTCTGGGTAACTCTTTCTCTTTCCTACTCATTCCCATAGGTTACTCTCATCATCAGCTGGCCTGTAAATGCTAGAACTTACAAAATGAAGAGAAGAGATGAGAAATTAGTAGCTCTAAGCTCAAGGAAAAGGCAATGATCTATTAGTTGAAGCATAAATTCTTGCAACAAACTCATTTTCAATCCCATAGCTTAAGCTCTAGTCACATAGAGACCTGTGACTTTGGTGGATTCACTATGTTCCACTGAGGACCATTACGTATCACAAGAAGCTGGTTTCTGCTTGTGTTGCTGTGCCAGTGGTAAACAAGTTCAAAGTCTGATTTTATAGATGATTTTCTTTCTGTTTTTCTGAAAAGAGGGAGCATCAGAAATAATATTCTATATTTTAAAACTCCAGAGAAGCTAGTGTGACCAACTAATTTTCAAATATCCAGTGATAACTATCAACAGTCCCCAAATACGGTCACATCAACTTACCAAGCCACCTACCATATTCTGATCTGCCTGCATGGTGAATAAGGAAGTATCCTGGGACTAAAAAGAGGGAGAAAAATTTAAAAAGCTTTCTAAATTAGTAACCATCAGTTGTATCAATAAATACATTTGAATGTTTTTGAAAGTCCCCTTTAAAGTCTTTAAAATATACCAAGTAAGTGTTAGCATGAGTTATTCTAAACATAAATCTGTGCTGGCAGAACACATCCAGGAATCACCACTTTCTTGGACAGAGTTGAAGTGTGGATCCTGATCTTCTGATGGCTCTTCTGGAGAATCACTAAAGGTATGGCTGTACATGTTGTGGCTCACTATGACGTTTTAGAAAGAGCTCTTAAAAATCATCATCTCTAATATCCATCATCTTAGTAAAAATCATCTTACCTCCTCTTTTTCCAGTAGCCAAGTCTAGGGGATCTTTCAGATTGGAATTACTTCCAATGATTAGTAGAAATATTGGCATAGTGTTATGGAGCACCTAGCATGTGCTGGGTCTTGGGTTAAGGGCACTGCAGGCCGGCTCATTTCCTCACAACAATGCCACAATGCTGTCTCCAGTACTCAAGATGTAAGGAGTGAGATCGAATTTTGTACTAATGCTCTTAATCATTTTGCGGGATTGGTGACAAAGAACTCACACAGTGATGAGCTCATGTAAGGAAACAGATTCTCCTTACCTGGGTGAAGCCATTAAATGAACCTCCAGAAGCCTAAAGGCAATGGAAAACAGGTGTGATTTTTTTCCCCAGGACTTTCACAGGCTGAGTGAATATCCATTAGACAAGCTTGAGAGTAATGACTACCACACACAAATGTAAAAATAATACAACAGCTTGCTTTGCTTGAAAGTGCTTAGGAACTACAGAAAGCCATGCTGTATTATCATAAATAGGCTGACAAAAAAGTGAAAGATCAGCTTTACAAATGTCGCCGGCACATGGTTAAGTGTTTGCCATCACTGACTTTCTCAATAATGAGAAAATGATTCTAGGCAAGAATCATGGGAGTTAATATCTCTTTTAAGGCATTCATATGCATCACATTAATGAACAGCAACTAAGGTTCTATAGTTTTAATGGGCCTGGATAGAAACATTTCATGTCTTTTTATGGGAGTGGAATCAATCGCATTAGCAACAGCAAGTAAGTCTATGTTGCTCATGATTTAGCACATTATAGTGTTCAAGCAGTTAAAAAAAAAAAGGAAAAAGGGAAAGGAAGAACAACTCAGAAAGTGGAATGGTAAGAACGACTCCACTAATTCCCAGCACAATCATTGTGTAGTTTTTGTTTGTTTGTTGCTTTTTTGTCAACCTGTTTGTGTTTGATTTATACAGGTTTCAAGAGGTACATCTGTCAAGGAGATCAATGATGGAGAATGAAGTTGGTGAGAGACATAAGGAAAAACAGCACCTAAGGAAGTCTGGCTAGTCTATGCTACATTCTAGGGCAAATACCTCATCCGTATCAGCCTCTATTTCTTGGTACAACAATCCATATCTCTGGTTAGCAATTTCATCTTCAGATAAATCTGAGTTGTTGATGTCATTGTCTCGGGGACTATCAGGACTCTCCATGCTAGTGTTCCAGGAGGTTCCCTGAACCCATGGTCTAGTGGTCTCCTGACTTTGATCCAAGCCACTAGCCCTGGCATGTTTACCACATATATCTGCTGTTAAGTCCACCTCCAGTCCTTTCTTACTTTCTACTAAATGTCCCCTGCATTTATGTAAACCTTCTATATCTCTGAGAGGCCAGTGGCTATTAGGTTCCTGCCAGTTGGCAAATCCATTTGCTTGGCCATCTGGAATACCAGAGACTCCCACTATATCTGCATTATTTATTCCTGAATTCAATCTTGACTGCCAGATTTGACCTGGATCTGTTCCCCAAGAATCTGTCTTTATAGTTCTTGGCAATTTAATGGCATGACTACAGTTTTCAGGCACTGTACTTGCAGAACCCTCTGCTAATGAATCTTTTCCCTTATATGAACACTGCCCTTTTCTACTTGCAAGAGTTCCAAGAGAACAGTTAGGGTCAATTTTAGACTTAACTGCCACTGAATATTTGGTCGATAAAACAACAGACTGACTCTTATGTCCATCAGCTCCTTGAGCACTGACTGCAATGCTACATTGAATTTCTTCTATACCTGCACCTCCCTGTGCTGGATGACACTTTGTAGAATGGTTGTGAGGGTCTGTTGAATGTTTCCCTATCTCTTTTCTAGCTAACTCCCATTCCTCAATGCTCAAATCTTTAATAATAGACACAGGGTCTGTCTCGAGAGGTAGATTACAGATCCCTGCATGATTGGCAGGTGTAGCTTCAAAGCCTTCTTTATTTTTATGATGATTGATTACTACTTCAATCTTATCAGACAACCCATGGGTTCTGTCACCAAGTTTATCTGCCACATATACTCTTTCCACATCTTTTCCTAATAGAGCAGCTTTCTCAAAATAATTTTCATAGGTTTTTAGTCTTTCCTCACACCTCACTCTCAAATCTTTCCTACTTCTCACTTCACATCTATTGAAGGTCTCCTGGCCTTGTTCTGCTGGTGTTTTGAGATGATGTAGTGTTCTGTTTCCTAGACTGTCACATACTTTCTCCTCAAATCTCTCAGTATCTTCTAGTGCCATGGTATCAATAGCTCCAGTGTCTACCTTTTGATTTGTGTCCACACATTCCCACATAGGATCTTCTACCTTCTGTTTCTGTTTTATTTCTCCATCTGATATTTTAGCTTCTTCATGACCTTTTTTGAGCAGGTCAACTTTTCCCATGGCTGGCTTCTCTGAGTCAAGTACTGCATATGGCTGGTCCATCTCCATGCATGTAGTAATAACAACTCCAGCCCAGGGCACAGGCTCTGAGGACAGCTGATCATTTCTAGCTGGAGGGGCTGGCCCCAGGGCATCCTCACCCTGTTCAGCTACAGTAGAACAGTCAGCAGAAGAAAGCATTCCAGTGCACAATCTCATGTCTTGCTCTGCTTCAGAGAGACAGACAATGTCTTCTTGAGACCCACTTGGGGTCATCTCCTGGCTCACACTGTCTGTCCTAGCATGAGGGCCCCAAGTAAATGCATCTATAGTTTCAGATCTTTGAATCTCTTCAGCCAACCCACTGTCAGGAGTTTCCTCTATGATGAGGTTACACATAGAAAGACTTTTTGAAGAGTCAGTCTTTAAAGTATGTAGAAAAGCAAAGGGGGGAAAAAGATTAAATAGACCATGAAATATTTGATGAGAAACATACAGCTCTTCAGTAGTGTAGTACCAGTTAAATAAAATCAGAAAGTACTTGAGTTAATTGGCTTAAAGTCAAGTCTAGGACTAACAATGCCATGGAGAAAAGTCATTCTACCAAAACAAAATGCCATATGTATAATGATATTAGATATCTTTAAAATCTATAATATTATGAAAATCAACCTACCGGTTGTACCAAATCAGTGCTTGTCTGTAAGAGGGGAATGGGGGGAGAAAAAAAATAAAGAATGAGAAGCATTTTACTGGTTGAAGTCTCATACTGTCCAAGGACAACATTCTTGTGAATGCTGTAGCTTTTACTGTGCAGGAATTAAATTTTACCACTTGTTTTGTTATAGGAATGATTTGGTTCTAAAATGTATTCAAGACAATTGTGGAAGAGGCACAAATGAAACATAGAGAGCCTATGTCATTTTCTAGTATCAGTGAGAGTGTTTTGTGGCTAGTTCACAATTTCTACCTTATGGAACCATGAAAAGAAAATGCTTATCCAATGAATGTGCAAGTCTGAGAACACCAGGATATTATCAAGAGGAGAGATCAAGAAATTACTCCACATCATATACTCTGTAAGAGCATTGGAACAAACTGCCAAACTCATTCTTCACTAGGGTCTGTCTCTGAGGTATGTACTGTATGGAGAATGAATTCATATTAACCACATGACTACCATGATTATTTTCTTGACAGTCTTCCCTCAAGCTAGAAGCCATTTTCTGCCCACAAGAAAAATACCCTGTAAATTAGACCGGACTAAGAATTTTGAGAAGTATGTCTAGAAGCCATA